GGAAAGAGACCGAACTCGTAACTTTTATCAAGCCCACACAGCACCACTCTCACAGCATCTCAAACTCCCTCCCTAGCTCTGCCACAAGAACACCAAGAAAGCACTAAGGACATATTTTACAGTGCAAATAGGTGCAGAATTCCAAGACACCAGTTAATTTACTGCTTATTTAATGCATCGAAGCATAAGCCACAGAACTTCAGAACATGAAACTACTCCTTACATAAAGAGGCTGGTTTTCCTTCACAAGTCTATTTCAGGAAAACTATTGGTGTCCCCGTGTCCTCATAAACAATATAAGGACAGCAGCTGTTTACCTCACAAAATATCACTTCAAAAATTTCAGCTAATTATTATAATTAATTAAATAATATTATTAATAATTTTATTTAATAAAATCCTATCAAGCCAGCACTATAGTCCTGGAAGAGCCTAACATGTCTGCAAGCAGTTGAGAGGCTGCTGGATCTCCCCTAGCTACAACAAGGTCTCAGAACTCTCCACAACAGCGAGAAGCAGAGCCCAAACTCACCAAGCTGGTCCAGGGATTCTGTGTGTGAGGCTCTGCCTCACCTTTTCTCATCCATCCTGTTTATCTCCTTTAGTTTGGTTCCACCTGAAGAAGTGCTAAACCCAGAACACTGTTTGGATGCAATTTCATTACTGACAGAGAAGAGGTGCCACAAAAGTTTTCTGTACCAACAGGAGAGAAACAGACCTGGGTTTACAGAAAGAGATACAGCTTGAATCATTATAGGACTCTAGTTTTCATACAAAACAGAGGAGATGAAAACTTGTTTTTTCTCCAAGTGCATGGCATTACTTGCTTTCAGTTCTTCCTCAACAATTCAAAACACAAAAAGGTGAAGAAAATGTGGAAAAAAATTCCTTAAGTTCCCACTGAGATGAAGAAGAAATAGAGTTAACTTCTATCTAAATGAATTTTTTTAAAAAATAAAAAATATTTGCCTGTGAAGGACATGACCTGAACTTACAAAAATAAAAGCCATTCCTCTCACATTCCCTTCTTAAACACAAACCTCAAAAGTTTCAGATTCTATTTGACGTAAAAGCATCTTTTAATTAATTAATGACTGAGACTTTGTGCTAAACCTGGCCAAGCACTGGAGGAGAGAGTGAAAGGAACTGCTCAGTCTGAACTCGCTTTGTCTTTCCTATCTCCTACCATATTTTCATAAAAGCCTGCCGGGGTTAGCCTTGAAAACTCAGGGTCACAAAACCTCTTAACCTCTTCCTTTACCAATTTCAAACTTGAAAAAGAGACTTCTGCAAACGTGATACTGCATGGTTCCTAATCTCTGAAAAACTGAAACGACCCAAAATTTTTTTTCAACAGAAAAGAAAATCAGACAATTTCAAAATGTAACTGCACTGAGACCACAGATTGTGTGCATGTGCACATATCCATACTGCTAGGTCAGAAGGCCTAAGCGTACAGACAGTTCTAGATCTGTCTTGATAGTCATCCTGGTTATCTAAACTGAAATATTTCCTTACCCTACTTTATTTTTTTTCTTCTCCTCTCCATTGGTACCAAAGTAAGGCAGGCTGCACTCATACACCAGTGATGCTCCAGGCAAAGCTATCTCAGCATGGCAGGTCACAAGTAAGTTTTCCAGTTTAAACAGGCCCTTAAAGTTGCTGAACTGAAATGCAAGTAGTGCAAAATGTTATCCCTAGCCCATTAGGGTTTTTTAAAGCTTCTACTGCCATAAGAAATTATTATATTAGTAACTTTGTCTTACACTGCTACACCTTTCTTTATAGTATGGACAAGATACTAATTTCTAGATAGTGATGCCTGAGAACACAAGGATGAAATAGTACCCTTCCAAAAGGAGTTTGATTCAAAGGAAGCAAGAAACAGGTTACAGTTGGTAAGCAAATCTTGTTGTAGTAAAGTTGTGCCAAGTGGGGGCACAAAGATAGGCTAAACAGTAAGGAGGAAAAAAAGTAGTGAAGATAGCAAACTTGTTTGGGCTGTTGACCTTTTAGAGTAAGTATTAAATAAAACCAATCTGTTTAATTCTCACACAAGAACTTCCAACAATAACATTCCTTGGGTGTGCAAACATGAAAAATCCTGTCCAGCAAAGCTTAAGAAGATTAGCACAGTCTTTAAGGGTCCATTAGGTCCTTTAAAACTGCAAAGTCTCCCCCACAATTTACAACTGAGTTGCCCCAAACTCAGCACCATATTTGACAGAAAACACACCTCATCTCTTCCTTGACAGCAAGTTTGCCAGTGCCAGAAAATCCCACTGCTGCAGTAGCAAGGCTTCATCCCCAACCCAAGTTCATGTGGCCACAGAGTTCACCACAAAAATGCGGTAACATGTGCCACTGGCTATCTAGCTATCACCCAGCTCCGGGAAGTGGAATAGGGCAGTCCACCAGACAGGAAGGACATTAACACGCATAGGTGATACCCAGAAGCCCAGTGAAACACTGCATATGCACAGGCATTTTCTAAAAATCCATTAAAACTTCAGCTTCAAATAGCACCAACAACGTACATACCGGAAAATGAAGCACCAAAACCAGTATTACTACCCACCATCCTACTGGGAACGATGCAACAACAAAGTGGATACAGAGTGGTACTTATGAGGAAGTTCAGCAAGAGTATTTCTGCAGACACATCTTACCCCAACTGGAATTCACAATAGTTCTTCTGCAGGATTATAAGAATCCAGAAATTAAGCAACCACACCCATAGGATCTTTTGCTGGAAGAAATATTCAAGGCAGACTCGATGTGATTTGAAGAAGGATGACAAATCACAAACCTATCTATATTTTTGGGAACCAATGGAAGTAGTGAAAAAAAATGTGTGGAGTAGTTACACCACACAATGTGTGGAGTACACACCACAAATATTATAAATGGCTGAGTAAATACAAGAACTGTGTTTTCATAATGAAAGAATCTGCCATCAGAAATTCTATTCTGCTACATCTTAAGTGTAGTTCTTGCTTCTACCTGATGTTTCAACTCCACAGGTAAGAGAACTGGCAGCTCCTTCTCACAAAACTACTGCTCTGCTCGCTAATCAGTTTTTCCATAAACTGAGTTCTGAAACACATTTTCTCTAAAAGTCTTCAAATAAAATGTCTCAAAAAATACATCTGATAACAACTTGTAATTTAGCCACTTATAAGAAACCTAAAAAATAGCTGAAAAGATATATAAATTTAATGTAAAAGCAGGAAAAGTTAAATATCTTAAAGATGTAATGATTTCAACAATATTTGCTGAGTAATACTTCAATGGTTCCCGAGATAAACAATACAATGGCACTTGTTGAGACATTCAATTTGGGGTGTTTTTACTAGTAAGGTGGCTCATTAGCTCAGTATTAGTCGGCAGATATGCAAAGAATACATAAGAAGTTCTTTGAACAGTCTACAAAAATGTCACATTTTCCTCTTATCCCTCTGTTGCCTTCCGTAGCTCTCACTCCTTTTATCTTTTTCGTAACTTCTCCCTCCACACAACCTCCTCTTCCATTCAACCCGTTTCCCCCTTAGAGGGCTTTTCCCTGCCCTCCCAGCAACCCCACTGCTGCCAGCACCTGAGTGTCTCTGCAGAGGAACCCCGTGTCTCAGCTGAGCAAGACCCGCACTACAACACCTCCACATCGCTCACCTTTGCATTACTGGTCTTCACCCACATGAGCTCACCACTCCTCACTAAGGAAGAGCGAAAATATTGCTATGCAACCATGCGGTACACCCGGCAAAAACCGTATCTCCGGCCTTCTTCACAGGACAGCACGCCTCTCTGCAGTCCGTCGGCGGCAGTCACGGTTTTTGTTATTAACCCCGCAGCCTCAAGCAAGGCAGACGAGCGGCCAAACGCGCAAGGCAGAGTCTCCTTCGGTGACTCGGGAACTCACCGGCAGTCTCTCAGTCAAGCTCACCAGTTCCCCACTTCCCCACTGCCGGAAGCCCCGCACACGAGGCACGCCAGCTCCCTGTGAGCAGGGTGCGGGAACATCGCACCCAGCAGGAGACCAGCGATCTCCAGCCACGGCCCTGCTCCTCCGCCCAGCCCGCGGCCGCTT